GGACATGGGCATGGGATTATTGCCAACTGTCGTGTCCTCCTACAGAAGCAGACCCAGGGGCCCCCAGTCAAGGACAGAACCAGCAAGGTCCCTGCTCTCCTGCTTGCCCTGTGTGTGCTGGCCTAGTCCCACCCTTAGACTCAGGCAGGAGGGCTCCCATGTTGGACGCTCACAGGAGAGGGCACCCGCCATTCCCCCTCTGGCTGCCCCTCCCCAATGGGTCAAGGAGTTTCCTGCCCTTGCAGCCCAGGGCCAGCTGCCTGGGCCTTCGTGGGCCTCTTTGCCAGGCCCCCAAGCCCCAGGATGTGGGAAGGAAGAGGGTGTGGCATTTTTCAGGGGCACAGACAGCATTCTCGCCCTGGGCAGGGAATCCACACCCCTGTCCCAGGACCCTTCTGGTGGGGAATGGAACAAAGGATGGGATGGGAAGAGAATTGGTGTGGCTGGCTGTCCCATACCACCATGTTCCCAAACCAGATTCTATCTGGTCTTCTAGGACATTATAAAGATGTATGTGTTAAGGCAAGAAGGTAGAACATATTTTCTCTAACAGTTTTTCAGTTTGATTGGTAACTTTTCATATTTAAACAGATGCTATGGGGGCTGCCATTTGTACTCTTGTCTCGGATCCCACAGAAGCATGGGCAACCTGCCACATCCAATGCTTGCCTTCTGCAGTGCTCCCCAAATGCAAGATGCAGAGTTTGGGGACCCCTCACTTACCAAAGAAGTTTTCCACCAAAACAGAATAAAGGGCTCTTCCCAGTTTGCTAAACAAATTAAAAGATAGAATTTTCTAATTTTTAATTTTTTTTATTATTTTTTTTAGAGACAGGATCTTGCTGTATCACCCAGGATGGAGTATAGTGGTGCCATCATAGCTCACCTCAGCCTCAAACTCCTAGATTCAAAGAATTATCCTGTTTCAGCCTCCTGAGTAGCTGGGACTACAGGCTTGCATCACCACACCTGGCTAATTTTTTCATTTTATGTACAGGTGGGGCCTCACTATGTTGCTCAGGCTGGTCTCAGATTCCTGGCCTCCAGACATTCTCCCACTTTGACCTCCCAAAGTGCTGCGATTACAGGCATGAACCACTGTGCCTAGCCCTGATTTTTATATTTTGACTCCATTTCCTTTTTCTAGAATGCTTGATACCCGCTACTGCTTACCTACTAGCAGTGGGAAGCAAAAAATATATAAACAAACTGTATTAGTCCTTTCTCATACTGCTGTAAAGAACTGCCTGAGACTGGGTAATTTAAACAGAAAAGAGATTTAATTGATTCACAGTTCATCATGGCAGGTGAGGCCTCAGGAAACTTACAATCATAACAGAAGATGAAAGGGAAGCAAGGCACCTTCTTCACAAGGCAGCAGGAAGGAGAAGTGCCAAGAGAAGGGGGAAGAGCTCCTTATAAAACCATCAGATCTCATGAGAACTCACTATCATGAGAACAACCTGGGGGAAATCTGCCCCATGATTCAATTACCTCCACCTGGTTTCTCCCTTGACACATGGAGATTACGGGAATTACAGGGATTACAATTCAAGATGACCTTTAGGTGGGGACACAAAGCCTAACCCCATCACAAACACGAACAACGACTAAAGAAATCACACATAGTATAGTAGATGAATATTAAGAGAAAACTGGAGACCAGGCGGGGTGGCTCATGCCTGTAATCCCAGCACTTTGGGAAGCTGAGGCGGGTGGATTACCTGAGGTCAGGAGTTGGAGACCAGCCTGCCAACATGGTGAAACCTCATCTCTACTCTCTACTAAATATACAAAAATTATCTGGGGACGGTGGTGGGCACCTGTAATCTCAGCTGTTTGGGAGGCTGAGGCAGAAGAATCGCTTGAATCCAGGAGGCAGAGGTTGTAGCGAGATGAGATCATGCCACTGCACTCCAGCCTGGGTGACAGAGGGAGTCTCCATCTCAGAGAGAGAGAGAGAAAACTGGAAACAGCTGATTTTTGTGAATTTGACAGAACGTACTTGTTATAGACTGGAGTACGTATGGTTGTGATTTTATATGGTATACATACAATATAGTTATTCTTCCTAACAGTTAAATGGCCTCCAGTTTATGAAGACAGAATTCATTATGCCTTGGAACTTTCTGCAGAGAGTACCATGACTTCTAGGTGCTTTTCCCCAAAACACATAGAGAACCTCAGCCTAATACACTGCCAGAATATTCCATAACTATGTGTTAAAATGAGTTGCCTAGTCTGGGCATGGTGTCTCCCACCTGTAATCCTAGCACTTCGGGAGGCCGAGGTGGGCAGATCACCTGAGGTCAGGAGTTTGAGACCACCCTGGCCAACATAGTGAAACCCTGTCTCTACTAAAAATACAAACATTAGCAGAGCATGGTGGTGCACGCCTGTAATCCCAGCTACTCCAGAGGCTGAGGCTGGAGAATTGCTTGAACCTGGGAGACAGAGGTTGCAGTGATCCAAGATTGCACCACTGTACTCCAGCCTGGGTGACAGAGCAAGACTCCATCTCAAAAAAAAGAAAGAAAGAAACTAGTTGCTTAATATTTCAAAGTTTTGGGGAAACTGGCACCTCAAAAGTGTGCTTATGGAGAGACAAGGAGGGCAGGGAAGAACACATCAAGCTCTTCTTTACTAAATAAGTGTCTCCTGTATGCCAGGAACTGGCCTTGGGATGAGAAGCTCCCTAATCACCCCAGCAGCCCCCAACACCACTGAGCCTCCTGGGGAGACAGGATGAGTCATCTCACGGATAATAAGAATGGCTTCTCCAGGAGCTGGGGCATCTGTTGGTGAAGAACATTAGGCCGGGCACAGTGGCTCATGCCTGTAAATTCTAGCACTTTGGGAGGCCGGGGTGGGAAGATCACTTGAGGTCAGGAGTTCTGGAGAGTTCATTGGCTTTGTCAGCCTGAGCAGCATGGTGAAACCCCGTCTATACAAAAAATTAGCCAGGCATGGTGGTACGTAGTCTGGGCTACCCAGGAGGCTGAGGTAGGAGGATCACTTGAGCCTGGGAGGCAGAGGTTACATTGAGCTGAGATTGAACCACTGCCCTCTAGCCTGTGACAGAGTGAGACCCTGGCTCAAAAAAAAAAAAAAAAAAGAGGAAGAAGAAAAAGGGAACACTAGAGTTTGGGTTGATTGTGCATTGAGTTCATAGCTTTACATGTCAAGATCCAAAGCCTAAAACGAATTCGTATAAAACTCACTGGTAATAAACAGTAACTAGTGTTTTTATTTTGTCTTGTTTGTCTAATTTGAGGAAGGCCTTTGAGGGTATCATATTGAAACATGGAAACGCTCTCAGACAGACCATATTAGATACCCCTGCCCCTAGCCAGAGCTCAGCTGTGTCTGAAATCATAGTTCTGGACTTTTATCTTATCTGAATTGGTCCTGTTTGGAGCGACCAATCTTACACACACACTTCAGCTTCAGATAAAGTCAGAAAACTAGTTCAGAAGGGTTAGTTCCATTTTTGCTCTTCAGAATTTGATTGATTTCCAGACTTACGTACTAATTCCCTCATGGTCCTTGCCTTAGGAAGGTTGAATCAAAGTAAAGTAAAACGTTTCTAGGGCTCTGTTTGTCTTCTCAAAATAATTAGAGCTGCGATTGATTCAGGAACCAGGCTTCATCCTGGAGCACCCAAAACTCAGGACTTGTTTCCTGGGGAATCATGCTCACCTCCTCCCCACCTGGCCTGTGCATACCCCCATCCACAGCCTCAGGAAGAAGGACTTTAAAGGTGGTCACAGAAGAATTTACAAGCTGCTCTTATGACTGGCTTTGTCTCAGTTGCACACGAGCCACAGAGCCACTTCTCTCAATCAAAGGTGATTTCTCCTTTGTTCCCACTTCTGCCACCAGCCGACTGTCTATGAGACTGCCAGGCATCAGCCTGCTCCTCTCTTACCCCTTGGGCATCTCCTGTGGAAAGTGACTCCATTGACCCCGGGTCTCACCTCAAATCCCCAGCTAATTCCTGCTTCAGGGCTTGGGCAGGACACTTCTATCTCAGGACCCCAGACACCCACTGTCCTCTCAGCACCTAGTCGGGCCTAGCCAGAGACCTACCACTTGCCCTCAAACCCATTTCCTCCTCATCTCAAGGTATACACTTAGGCTTTCAAGGAAAAACCAGAACAAGGTAGGTGGATCTTAGCAACTTCTCCAAGGTCCTCCCCTCCTAAACCACAAAGCAGGCAGGTAAGCATCCTGGAATGGGTCCCCCATGGCCGCCTGGGGGCTTGGAGAGGGGCTCCCAATTTCCTGGGCATTACATGTCAGGGGGTAGTCATCCCAGCCAGAAGCCTGGTATTCAGCCCCAACGTCCTGACATCTTGTTCAAATCTACCCTGCCCACTCCAGACTGGGGCCTCAAGCCTCCATTCTTTCCCATCTGGTCAACACCCATTCTCCGTCTTGGCTGGAGTAGTCTCTCAAGAACCCAAATCTGACAACGAAGCTCCCCTGCTAAAAACTGGAGGTCAAAAGCCTGGGAGATAAGGGTTCCTTCTTCACCTGCAGCAGCATTGGCCATCAGCCCAGCCGGGTCTGAGGATCCAGCCTTATCTAGGCCCCTTCCTCCCTCCCCCCACTCTCGTCCTTTGTTACCAGAACACGTCATGCACTCACAGGCTCTCCACCTTTGCACTTACCATTCCCTCCTCCTAGAAGAGGCTTCCTCCCCTATCCTTCCAGCAAATTCCTGCTCAACCTTCAAGGCCCAGCTCAAAGGTCTGCTCCTGCATGAAGCCCTGTTTCACCCCATGGTTCAGTCCATGAAGGCTACCATAATAGACCTACCATAAACACTGATTTCTCACAGTTCTGGAGGCTGGACGCCCAAGGCCAGGCTGCCAGCCCTGTCAGGTTCTGGTGAGGGGCCTCTTCCCAGCTTGCAGACGGCCACTTCCTCTCGGTGTGCTCCTGTGACATTCTTTTTCTGATAAGGCCACCAATCCTATCGAATTAGGAACCCACCCTTATGACTTCATCTCACTTTACTTCCTAAAAGGCCTATCTCCAAATAGTCACATTGGGGGTTAGGGCTTCAACATAGGAATTTGGGGCAGGGACACAATTCCATCCACAGGACCTCCCCAGACAGATCTGATCTCTGCCTCCTCCACAGCGCCACCTTATTCAGGGCAGGGCATCTATTCATCACAGCACATCCACCCTTTATTCCCATTCGTGCCTCCTGTGCATTTGATGAATGAATGAGGTCTCATCCCCTACTCCTTCTGTGTCCTCCTTCCTCCCAGCAGCCTCTGTGTGACACTTTATTAGTCTCTCCCACTGTCCCAGTTCCCAGAGGCAGGGACCACCTTCTCACGCATCCCTGGGCTCTCAGCACCCTGCACAGGGCAGGCCGGGGTGGGTGAATTCTGGTTCAATTGTAGGAGGACCTAGGGCCCTTGGGGTTGGAGACTCCCAGGGGGGGAGCCCCACTGCTTGCCATTTTCACCCCCACACATTCATCAGCCCCTTATTGGACAATCTTATCCCCATACTGAGGTTTCTTCCGGCCCTAAGCGGCAGAGTTCTTGATCTCTGGGCAGGCAACAGCAAGCTGTGCAAAAGAGGCCAGACATGGCCTTCCTCCCTGCACTGCACGGGCCAGGAATCGTGCATGTACAGTGGAGATTCTTTGTTACTACCTAGGAAAAGCCATTAGTTTTAGCACCGCAGAATAAAAATGCAAGTCGCTCTGGGTGTTTTTTTGATTTTGTCCAGGTCTCCCTCCACAGGTGGATGGTGTATGAACCGGTCCTGTATTTGGCTCAGCAAGCAGCTCTTCGGCTCAGATCGGGTTATTTATTTAACTTATCTAGTTTTTACTCCCTCCCGTCCAAAAGCGTCAAGCTAAAAATATCTTGTTTATGAGCTCTGGACCGAAAACGAAGCAGTTGGGCTATTAATCACTGGGAATATGTTGAATAGGAACTTGATTAAAGCACAGTGTGCATTGCCCAGATGAAACTGCTTCTTTACTGCAATCGCTATGGAAGCTCGGAGCCTCTCCAGCAGTGTTTTTAACTGCACCCCCTCGGAGGCTCCTGGGCGGGTAGTGGCGCCTTGCCAGGCCTAAGAAGGCCACAGTCGGCGAAGGGGTCTTCCCTCACCTGAAGGCAAGCGAGCCTCTAGCCGGGACCCAGGCGGCGTCTGGCCTCAGCGCCAGTCCCGACGGGCGGCGCGGGCAGGGGCAGGAGACACTTGAGGGCCCCCAAGACCCCGTTGGGGCCCAGCTGACAGTCCGCAATCCCCAACCCGGCTGCGGTAAAGAAAGCGAGGGACGCACATGGCTGGGGGTCTCTGTAGCAAGCTCCTTCCCCCGCCGCGGTGAGAGGGTCAGCGTGCCGCACCTAAGGGGCTCCAGGGCCCGGCGGCCACGGCACCCAAGATCCCGGGGACCCCAGCGTCCAGCGAACCACAGGGCAGAGTTCTCCCTGTGGGTGCTCGGACCTGGCGACCTGGACACCCTCGCTCCAGCCGTAGGCGTCCACCTGAACAGGGAGTTGGGGGAGGAAGCCGTGGCTTCGGGCCTCGCGGGCTACGGTCCCCGTCTCGAGGGATCCCGGCCGGGAGTTAAGTTAGTCTCCTCCCTCGGTGCGCCCCTCCCCGTGCTCGCCCCGGCGTCCAGCTCAGCTTGTCCCGGGAGCCCGCCCATCCGGCAAGAAAAAAATCAGCAACACCAAGCCGAGTAGTAGCGCCGGCCCCGCGCGCCTAGGCAGCCGAGCGCTCCGGGCTGGAGAAATAATTACGAAGAAAGTTTTCCAGCCGGGGCGGATCGACCGGCCAGATCCTCCAGACTCCCGGGCCGCCTCTGCTCCCCGCGGGGTCCTAGCGCCCTGCGGCGCCCGCTCATGGGATCCCGGCGTCCTCGGAGAGGTGCCTCTGCGCGGAATCACAGGGGTCGCCTGCAGATCAGAGCTAGGAGACGCAGAGTCACCGCGCTCCGGGCCTCTCCGCGCGTCCCAACGACCCCCCACTGGCCCCCCGCCGGCCCGGTCGCTCAGCGCCGCAGCCTCCCAGGGACACGGGTCCCAGACAGGCCTGGCCTGGTTCAAGCTTTGAAAGCGAGTCCGCACCACAGTAGCTCGAGACCAAGACTTGCCCTCCGCCCCGCTCCACCCCTACCCCGTGCAACCTCGGGATGCTCCAGGGCTCCCGGCCACGGCTGGATATGAGCGCCTAGGGAAGGCCGGAGGAGGGGGCCCCAGCCACCTACCACGTGGGCGCGGAGGCGACAGCCGGGCCCGGGGCGGAGCTTGGAGCGAGCGCCGCGGCCCGGCTGGGTGAGCCGGAGGCGGTGGGCGTTGCGCCTCAGCCTGCCTGTGGTGCGCCGCGCTGGGCCCCGCTGGTTCGCCCCCACCCTCCGTCTGCGCGCTAGGACCCAGCGGACCCCGCGCCGCCGCCGCCGCCGCCAGGGGACAGAGGCCGCCTCGGACTCTAGGGGGCGACTCGGACTGCAGGGTATAAAAGCGGGGCCTGCGCGGGCTGGGCCATTCGCGACCCGGAGCTGCGCGGGCGCGGGCGAGCAGGGGCTCCGGGTGCACGGCGGCGGCGGCGCCCCGCGCTGGCTGGAGGCCGCCGAGGCTCGCCATGCCCGGAGAACTCTAGCTCCCCCATGGAGTCGGCCGACTTCTACGAGGTGGAGCCGCGGCCCCTGATGAGCAGCCACCTGCAGAGCCCCTCGCACGCGCCCAGCAGCGCCGCCTTCGGCTTTCCCCGGGGCGCTGGCCTCGCGCAGCCTCCCGCCCCACCTGCCGCCCCGGAGCCGCTGGGCGGCATCTGCGAGCACGAGACGTCCATCGACATCAGCGCCTACATCGACCCGGCCGCCTTTAACGACGAGTTCCTGGCCGACCTGTTCCAGCACAGCCGGCAGCAGGAGAAGGCCAAGGCGGCCGCTGGCCCCGCGGGCGGCGGCGGCGGCGGCGATTTTGACTACCCCGGCGCGCCCGCGGGCGCCAGCGGCGCCGTCATGCCCGGTGGAGCGCATGGGCCCCCACCCGGCTACGGGTGCGCGGCCGCCGGCTACCTGGACGGCCGGCTGGAGCCCCTGTACGAGCGCGTCGGGGCGCCGGCGCTGCGGCCGCTTGTGATCAAGCAGGAGCCCCGCGAGGAGGACGAAGCCAAGCAGCTGGCGCTGGCCGGCCTCTTCCCCTACCAGCCGCCGCCGCCGCCGCCGCCCTCGCACCCGCACCCGCACCCGCCGCCCACGCATCTGGCCGCCCCGCACCTGCAGTTCCAGATCGCGCACTGCGGCCAGACCACCATGCACCTGCAGCCCGGTCACCCCACGCCGCCGCCCACGCCTGTGCCCAGTCCGCACCCCGCGCCAGCGCTCGGCGCCGCCGGCCTGCCGGGCCCAGGCGGCGCGCTTAAGGGGCTGGGCGCCGCGCACGCCGACCTCCGAGCGGGTGGCGGCGGCGGCGCAGGCAAGGCGAAGAAGTCGGTGGACAAGAACAGCAACGAGTACCGTGTGCGGCGCGAGCGCAACAACATCGCGGTGCGCAAGAGCCGCGACAAGGCCAAGCAGCGCAACGTGGAGACGCAGCAGAAAGTGCTGGAGCTGACCAGTGACAATGACCGCCTGCGCAAGCGGGTGGAACAGCTGAGCCGCGAACTGGACACGCTGCGGGGCATCTTCCGCCAGCTGCCAGAGAGCTCCTTAGTCAAGGCCATGGGCAACTGCGCGTGAGGCGCGCGGCTGCGGGACCGCCCTGGGCCAGCCTCTGGCGGGGACCCCGGGAGTGGTTTTGGGTCGCCGGATCTCGAGGCTTGCTCGGGACGTGCGAGCCAGGACTAGGTGATTCCGGTGCCGCCTGAAAGCCTGGCCTGCTCCGCGTGTCCCCTCCCTTCCTCTGCGCCGGACTTGGTGCGTCTAAGATGAGGGGGCCAGGCGGTGGCTTCTCCCTCCGAGGAGGAGAGAATTCTTGGGGCTGAGCTGGGAGCCCGGTACTCTAGTATTAAGGATAACCTTGTGCCTTGGAAATGTAAACTCTCTGCTCCGATGCCTACCGAGTAGGGGGAGCAAATCGTGCCTTGTCATTTTATTTGGAGGTTTCCTGCCTCCTTCCCAAGGCTACAGCAGGCCCCTATGAGAGAAGGAAGGGAGCGGCCCGTGGCGGGAGGAGGAGGGCTCAGGGAGCTGAGATCCCTACAAGCCAGCCAGCCCCAGCCGCTCCTCGGCGCCTTTCTTATAGAGGGGTGGAAACATAGGGACTTGGGGCTTTGAACCTAAGGTTGTTCCGCTGATTCTACATGAAGGTGGAGGGTCTCTTGTTCCGCACCTCTCCCATCCCTCCGCACACACCCCACCCCAGCCTGCCACAGGCTGGGCTTCCCCCTGGGGCGGAACTCACTGAGATATGGGGGTCACCAGGTGACCAGTGGGAGCCACCACCCCCAGTCAGACCAGACAGCTAGATCGTGGGTCAGCTCTGAGGATGTATACCCCTGATGGGAGAGAGGGGACCTAGAGATCTGGCCCCTGCGTGAGACGGTTGTAGGGGGTGAAGGGCCACTGGGACCCTCAGCCTTGTTTGTACTGTATGCCTTCAGCATTGCCATAGGAACACAAAGCACGATCAGTCCATCCCAGAGGGACCGGAGTTATGACAAGCTTTCCAAATATTTTGCTTTATCAGCCGATATCAACACTTGTATCTGGCCTCTGTGCCCCAGCAGTGCCTTGTGCAATGTGAATGTGCGCGTCTCTGCTAAACCACCATTTTATTTGGTTTTTGTTTTGTTTTGGTTTTGCTCGGATACTTGCCAAAATGAGACTCTCCGTCGGCAGCTGGGGGAAGGGTCTGAGACTCTTTCCTTTTAGTTTTGGGATTACTTTGGCTCCTGAGGGACCAATGAGGTGAGGGGTGTTCTCCTTTGCCCTCAGCTTTTCCCTGGCCCCTCCAGCCTGGGCTGCCCGCAAGGCTTGTCCCCAGAGGCCCTGGCTCCTAGTGGAGAAGGGAGGTGGCCTCCCGCCAACACATCACTGAGGCTGGGAGCGGGGAAGGACGGCTTTGTTCTCTTCTTTTGCGGAGAACATAGAGTCTCACCCTAGATGTTTTATGTATTATATCTATAATATAAACATATCAAAGTCAATGTCGGTGTCTTTTTAAAACCAGAAAGAAGCTGCTTCCAAGGTTGTCTGTGGGCCAGGTCACATTTGTAAATAATACAGCATTTTCCCTGGCTGCCATCCTGACTTTCATGAGCTCTCCATCCATCCCCAGCCCCTCTTTACCCTAAGTGGGGAGGGACTTACTTCCCCAGGCAAGACAAATAAATAGCAGAGTACAAGTCTCTAAATGGAGAATGCCCAGAGCCTGAAGGCAGTCTCTTGGAGTCATGGGAGGGGGCCATGGTGGGGTTTACAGGGCTGAGGTCTTGGCGAGGCCTCTCATCTGCCCCTGGGAGGAGAAGAGAAAGTCCTCTGCCTGAGCTCAGCAGCCCCAGGCTCAAGGCACCCTTTGTCCAGACTTCCTTCCAAATCACCTTCGGCTCCAGTGCCTCACTCATACCCACTGCAGCTCCAGCTTCCAACAGGACCCTTGGCCAGCAGGAAGAGGATTCCAGTGGTAGGACCCTCTAACCCTCCCCTCTTTCCCTGGACCATGTGGCTACACCCTACCCTGTGAAGCCCCCAGGGCAGCTTGAAGAGAGAGACCCTTCCATCCAGCCCTCCACACCTGCCCTGCCCCAGCCCTCACAGTAAAGGAGACTGAGGCAGACCAGCAACAGCAATCCAGCCCTGCCCCACACACTGGCTGCTCAGGAACTGCCCCAGCATCCACACTGCCCACTGCATTCATCCCTGACCCATCAGGGGACTGAGTGCTGGCATGCCCCCAACTCTGACGAGCACCCTCTAAGGTCAGGCACCCTGGCATCCACTTAACAGCAGTGACAGCCAAGCAAGGGAGGGCAGCCCTCATCTCTGAACTAACAAGGCCCGGGAGGAAGCAGCCCAGGAGGTTGATGGTGCTTTTCGGGTTTTACCCTCTCGGAGGGTAAAAGATAAATTGCGCTTTTTTTTTAACTGCACCAAGACAGTGTTCACTAAGCGGCTTACTGTATGTGCCAGTGCAGGCTAGAGCATTTTCGAGAAGTTACACGTCCCTTTTATATACTCTGGAAGCTTAGCTTTACCTGCCTTCGTGGTTAGCTGGCACCTCTTCCGGCCCCCTGCTCTGTCCTGTGTCTGGCCGCCTCCTCACCCACTGCCGCCCTTGGCAGAGGAGAGGCCACGAGCCCAGTGAGGAGGCGGTGCCTGCCCCACCACCCTGGGAACAGAGGAGGCAGAGCCCTGCCGCGTGCCCAGAGGCCTGGGGCAGGCCACAGCTTGCTAAGTCCCAGCAAACCCTCTCTGAGTTCAGTGCTAATTCCAGTTTTTCTTGTTTGAGGGGGCTGATTCCTGGCTTCCCCGTTTCCCCCCAGAACGGGTCCTAGGATGGGTGGGGGAGGGGTGACCCTCCTGCCCTCACTCCTTCCTCTCCTTTCTGCTATGCCAGCCTGCAAGGGGCTTCCTGTTTCAAAGCCACCAGCTCCTGGAAGCGATCCCTCCTACCTTGAGTCCTCCTCCTGATCCTGAGTTCCAGGGACAAAACGGATCCAATCACATCCAGCCCCAGGAAAGGGGAGGGTGAGGCCCCAGGGTAGGCCAAAGTAGCGCGGAGGAAGGACCTTTGGGCAGCGTGGGGTGAACCTGCCCAGCATGCACCCCGTGCCCAGCTATGGGGGACTCCCGGGAACAGAGTCGCCCCTGGCCACCCACCGCTTCCTGCAGGGTTCCTCACAGTTCCCCTCCTGACTGCAGCCTTCATGAAGAACCACTCCAGGAGCCCAGCACTGAACACACCGCAAGTATTTATCAGATGCCTGCTGTATGCCAGGGCCTGCGTCAAAGATGGGGCACTGGGCTGGGAACAAACAGACTCTGCTCTGGTGCTAGGGGAGCCCACAGCCTTGAGGCCCCCAAGCTGTGGTTTAGGAGGTGCCACATACAACGAGGAGGAGCTCAGAGTGTGAACAAGATACACCGGGAAGGTGGATCCTCCTTTCTGGAGGCGGCAGCTTTGCTGAAACGCCTGAGGCAGGCGGCCCCTGCCCTGGATGCTTCTCCTTTATTCTGATCTCCCCTTGACCAGGGGACCTTTTCCCCCTTGCTGGGCCACTCCTGAGCCCTGTGTCCCAGCTCTGTTCAGGGTTAGCCCGCCTTCAAGGAAAAAGCAAGGGTGGAAAGGAGGGAGGCATCTCCTCTGCCGCCAGATGCGTCCTGATGGTTTAGTGCTGTCACGGATATTACTCTTATCTCCTGGATCTCCTGGGAATCTGTGAATGTGGGGTTTGGCCCTGACACCTGTGATGAGCCACTGGGCCTGGTGAGGAATGTCTGCCCCTCCCAGCTCTCCCACCCGCTCCTTCCCAGGCAGTATCCTGCCAGGCCTCCTCTAGGAGCTGCTGATCTCACAGGAGGGGAGGGGGCCACTCATGGGGAAGGTCAAGGAAGAGCGGAAACCCCCGACTTTGTTTAGCCAAGGGGCCGCTCCAGGGTACCCACAGTCCTTCTCTAGGCACAGGGGCTAAGTCCTTG